TGTTTTATACTAATTTATTTCTTATTTCCTTTACCTCATAATATGTGGGTTCGAAATTGGTCCACAAAAATCTCTTGCTTGTATGTCTCAGTTAAGGTCCTGTAGACGCGAAATTGGCGTTAAGTTTGATGGTGGCACAATCTTATCCTGTAAGGCTGTCACATCAGAAGATAATCAATGGCATAAGAGAAGGGGGGGAAATGGCAAGATCAATCGATAATCGAGAGTTCTCAACAAATCAAATGCTCTTAAAATTGATGAACTCTATAGGGTTGGAATTAAGGTCTACCGGGGAGCTTACTTCAAACGAAATGTAAACTAAATGTATAGACCAATATATTTGCCAACGAATTTCGTTAAGGCTCAGTAAGGAGCTACTGTTGACGCCTGCAATAAATTTATGGGGCAAGAGGACACGATTCATGACGAAATAAGGTGTGGGTTAAGAGTTCCCAGCGGGAAGCTATTAATTGTCGGCTCTACGATAAGGAACGGAGGGAGTTGTAGAAGATTTTATCCTCCAAATAGTGGTGACTGACAAAAATGCTTCGCGTTGGTGCAGTGGTATAATCTTTAGGATACGTATGGAAGAACGCGACAATCTGGTACACTGATTCCGCGTTAATAAAGTAAATCCTAATTGGCAAAATTCAACTACCGCCTGGCCTAAACGAAATTGGGTGAATTCATCTTATATAAAGTCGATAACGTTTATATACAACGAGATGCATCTCGTCGTAGATTAGCTGATAGATTTTCTCTTGTTAAAGGTGGATCGATGTAAGTGATGCTTAACTTTTTCAATTGTGGCTTTGCAACTTCTTTAATTTTTTAAAATTGCTGTCCTAGTAGCGATTCTAATTCATTTATAAATTCATATCAACTCTTAAATCGTATAAAAAGGTTAATATAATAAAACAGATTATTCAAAGAATAGTATTCCACTGCAAAATATCGCATAGTTTCCCAATAAAAATTAAAGTTAATGGGCGTATTCGAAAATTCGAACAATTAATTTAATTTCTCAAAATTTCTTCTGTGGATTTGACAGAATATAAGTCAATTATTTAATCAGCAAAGGTTGGATTGAGTTGTAATATTTCTTTTCTGCTTCATTAAATCGTAAAAAGCTCGTTACAATAAAATAAATTTAAATTTAGTATGGCCTTTATGCCAATATCTCTCAAATCTACATATTTTGCGCATTGTATTATGCATCGATTGAAATGAGACCAAAAATCTTGAACGTATATGATTCACTTTCGTATTTAATTATTTTATTCGGTATCTATGAGTGTATGCATCAATATATTGACGGAGGTGACAACTAGCATGAAGATCGTGGAATTTGACAACTATGCATTTTAGCATATGTTGTGAATGAAATAATGTTATACTTGTGGGATTGGTAGCAGTTATATGGCCGGCCAATTAATCGGAGTATAAATAATAAAAGAAAGACTCTTCGTTTGAGTTTACATAGGAATTATGCTAGTGGCACAAAATACCAGGTGGTCGTTCAAATGAAAATGAATTCTTATTCAGTATGTTTAATAGTTGGGGCTAAAGATCATAAATAATAAAAAACAATGTGCGACAAAGGTGAAATATGGTTAGCAGACCAATCTATCATATCAAGACTATTTTAATTAAAATATATGTCCCTTAGCTAGGAGCTATAGTGATTATATTTTGAGCTCCCAATACTACCACCTAATATCTACAAGATGATTTCTTTTAAACTAGATATTAAGCAAAAATTCTAAAGATATACCTGAAATAAGCATAGGAATAAAAAAATTATAAAATTTTATCACAGCGTTAAAGATCGGATTACATAGAAAAGGCCTTGCAAATGGATAAGTATTTTCCTTGAAAATGAAGATTCCTATTGTGAGTTTTGTTTCAGACCTGAGCTTCACTTGATTACGACTCCTTTTGTAATAGTACAAATATATCGAACTAAATAAGAATGCAGTTTCAGTTTCTACTACAAAAAATCAAAGCATTAAGACCTTACTAGTCATTCGCTTTAGGTAATTATAAACTTAACCCTATAAGTATAATCTTATCTTTCCATTTTTCATAATGCTTGATCGCAATTTTTTGTTCTCCTGCCACTGAAATAAAAACA